GTTTTGTGTAAATAAAATTTGGTTTTTGTGAGTAACTGATTGCTTATGGTAACGGGAGTACTTTGAAATATTGTAGTGTTACAAATATAATTAAATCACGGACATGTCATAGTTTATGTCAGGACATTTGTTTTTTTAGAACAATAAGTACATGCTGTTTAATATGTTTAATGTTGGACTAGAAATTTAGAAAATGAATAAATTTCGTACTCAAAAACGTTTTTCGTTGCAAAATCTTTCGAAACTCATAATTATAATCGTAATAATGTTCTTGTGTCGTTATTGAAGCAATATATCTTTTTATTATTATTATTAATAATAAATGTTGTTTTTTTTTTTTTATAAAATGTAAGTGCGCATTTGACCTCCATCTCACCTGATGGAAAGTGACGATGAGGTCGACAATGGAGCACGCACAATTATTATAATCTTCTGGTGATTACCGCTAATCGTTTCAGAGTGGATAATCTACGTATTTAGACAATGACCCAAATTCTACGGTCAAGATTTTAAACTCAAAAATATGGACTTATGGGTCCTTTTACCTCTCACTTATAGAATTGTTTATTTTCAGAGATCTAAAAGTCCAATTAGAAAGTTGGTAGTAAATATTTGTTTAAAAAATGTGACACCTATTGCTACATTGCTTTGCACTTCAACTCTACGAATTTTCTTTTCACTTCACCGCTAGCGAGATGTATTGGTATTAAAAATTCAGAAACGTACTTAGAATCCCTGTGGATTCCAACTTGTCCACCTGTCAATAACCAAACAACCGCTCTCCCATGGGGTTACCACCAATGTTCATAATATGTAGTGCTTGTAAACTTAAATATTTTAGACTAGCTAGTGTCCGCGATTTATATTAATTTATATACAGGGTTACAGGAAAAGTCGTGCTAGATCCGTTAAGGGCGTGGAGTACTCCATCATTTCTGACTTATTTTACTATGAAACACCCTACCCTAAACTTAACCCTTTTCGAGATATTTGACTTTTATTTTTTTTATTCAAAATTGCCGATTTTTAGGCTACTAAATTTAATTTTGTTTATTTTGTGTGTCTTATTATTATAATTATTGCATTTTTACATGTGTGATAAGATGCTTTGGGACCTCAATCATTAAAATAGTGAATAAGTTAATTAGTTTCATAGGCGATAGTGGAGGAGAAAATTAATACTTAGCCCTAAAAATTATAACAAAACAATAGGTAAGCATGCAAAGTATTTATTAAATCAGGTTTTCACACAACTTTTTGTTATTCTACAGTTCATGTTCAACATGGCTGCCTCTGTTTCTAATACATTGTCGCATTCTTCTACGGAGACCAGTCTTCACTACTCCAGTGGTCAACGTTGTCCTCATTTGATTTGCTGCATCCACAATCCTTACTTTTAACTCTTCCACAGACGAAACTAGATTTGACTCGCTGTAGACAAGACGTTTCATGCGCCCCCACACATGAAAATCCATGGGGGTTAGGTCCGGACTTCTTGCTGGCCATGACAACGGCCCACCTCGTCCTATCCATTTGTTTGGATAATTTGTGTCCAGCCAGTCTCTGACACTTCTCCTGAAATGGGCAGGGCAGCCATCATGTTGGAACCACATGTCCCTGATCAAGTTGAGTGGCAGATCATCCAGCAAAACACTCAAGTCTCCTCTCAAAAAATTTTCGTAACTTTCCCCATTTAAATTGTCCGGGAGAAAGTAAGGTCCAATCAAATGATTGGAGATAATACCCATCCACACATTCACGCTGAATCTTCGTTGGGAACCCTTCACTCTTTTCTTATTGGGATTCCTAAGTTCTTTTGGGGCCCAGTAATGCGCGTTGTGATAATTAGTTATGCCATCTTTATCAAATTTGGATTCATCTGTCCACAAGATATTTCTTAGAAAATCTGGGTCTTCTACGTCAGCATTTAGCATAAATCTGCAGAAATCCAACCTTCTCGCGGGGTCTCCTTCTTCAATAGTGTGTACCGGCGTGTAATGGTACGGGTATAGGCCAGCAGTATGCACTGTAAACCACACTCTCCATTGCGAAAGTCCCAGATCACGGGCAACAATATTAGTGGATGTAGTCGGATCCGCTCGAAAGCGTTGCACTATCTCATTGTCCTGTTCTTCGTCGTCATTAATTCGTGGTCTGCCCATGTCTGTATTTCGTCTCAAAATAGAGCCAGTTTCTCGAAGTCTCCGATAAACTCTGTCAAAAACAGCCACATCCGGCACTCGACGACCGGGAAATCGAGCTATGTATTCGTTGCGAGCTTGCGCAGACACACAATCGCAGTATCCGTAACAAATAAGCATATCAGCATATTCCTCATCTTCAATACTTCCGTAGCACAAGTACAAATCAAAGTCCGGTTAACAAGCACAGTAGTCACAAATCGGAAAAAACAGTCCAGAATCACAGCCAAGTCAAGAAAAAGAGCAAAACGATATCACATCTACTATGTACGAAGCACAAAAGCAGACTGACAAACAAAACAATATCCCGTGATATCTCTACAATATTTTTTCTTTCATTCGCACCTACATAAACCGTCACTTGTCTCACTCGCACGGTGCGTCTTAACTTAAGGACAACAGGCGCGGGACCGTTAGAACTGCTACCTGGAGCGTCCCAACTACTTTTTTTTCCACGAAATGCAATACAAATCCTAGATTGTTATACCTTGTTAGATAGCTGATGAAACGTAGATATTTTGTAACTTATCTGCCGATCAACTGCCATAATATTTTTTTTAGATATCCCTTAGAGAAAAATAAACTTTCTATTTTTTTTTTAATTTCTTAACTTTCTCTTTTCTACTACGGCGTATTGAATTAACTTATTCACTATTTTAATGATTGAGGTCCTAAAGCATCTTATCACACATGTAAAAATGCAATAATTATAATAATAAGACACACAAAATAAACAAAATTAAATTTAGTAGCCTAAAAATCGGCAATTTTGATTAAAAAAAATGAAAGTCAAATATCTCGAAAAGGGTTAAGTTTAGGGTAGGGTGTTTCATAGTAAAATAAGTCAGAAATGATGAGTACTCCACGCCCTTAACGGATCTAGCACGACTTTTCCTGTAACCCTGTATATGTATTACGCCAAATCACGTAAATATAAACAAAAAGAAAAGAATACAATGTAATATAGGCATTCATGTATAGTAAGATGCCCTATGCCCGATGCCTAGACTAAACACGTTGATGGGACTGCCGCGGCACTGTGGTCGGCATCAGGTATGTTCACAGAGACGCGCACGATGGCTCTCATGCCGTTTTTACAAAAAGAGTAGCTTCCAATAGCATCCTCGCCATTGTGGGAAATCGTTAAAAATATTCTATTTAAACCCACTGGACGGAGTTACATGTAAGATAAGCATAGTGCGTGATAAATTATTACTTAATTGAGTCTAGTTTTTGTTATTTTTATGTTTATATTTATCTTTATTAATTTCATTTCATTTGTATTTAATTTAATTTATTTTATTTGAATTTGGATTTATTTAATTTTTTGTGGCAGTATTTTGTTAATGTAATGTATGTGTGCGCTTATTAATTTTATAATTTTGTTTAGTACATGTAATATTACGAAATAAATTATTTGAATTTGAATTAACTAAACTAACGGATCTAGACAGATCAGATCAGTCAAATCAGATCTAGAGTACTACTGCATCCGAGTACTTATACGTGGTCCGGTCACAGAGGATCACACGGATAACTCATTAACGGATAACGAATTTTTGCTCTAATGTTTTTTAGGTACTACGCCATAGATACTGTGGCTGACACTTTAGAAAGTGACGTAGTTAGTGTAGTGTATAATATGCATATGACTTTAAAACGAATGAAGTAAACTGGAGGCTGTTAAGGCTTTGGCGCGCAATTTCCGTCGAGTCACGTCGAGATTTCGGGAAAAGACTTATCACATTTTTGAAAAGACTTATCACAAAGCAATCCGAAACTCAGAGTTTGACATTATCCAATAATCATTGTCTTAGGTTAATTTGTTTGACAAACTAGAGGTTCGGTTGTTAGTCTTCAGGGACATTGTTAGTTGATTACGATGTCAGCTTGATTGGTGGCGGGTAGCTGACGGCGGTTATTTGTTTATTGTAATAGCGTAATAACTTTATGCTAATCTTACCTAGCCTGGAATACTGTGTAGAATAATTAATGAGTAGTAAGTAAAGTCTGAGAAGCTATCTTGACTTTATATATTGACTTTTCGATATCAATGTTCACATATTGTTAGAAGAAATTATTATTCAGCTGCTGTTGCTCAATGAGGTGTCGCACTCACAGTCACAATGATTCGCAATCGCACTCGCTCTCGCTTTCGCACTCGCATACACTCAAGCACACAAGCTTAAGGAACACGCACTCACAAACGCTCTCGCAGAATTACACCGTTATTAGGATTAATTTTATAAATAATATGCATAAATAAAATAACGAATATTCTATATTTTACTGAATCACTGCCAGGTGGCTGGTATGAAGTCAAATAATCTTTATTTGATAGATAAGCAAAATTACACTTGAAATCATTATATTGGTTAAACTTATGTCGTAGGCCTTTATTGGAAATAAAACAGTTTTATCGTATCTAAAATCGCATATGTTTGTTTGATTTTCAATGTGTACCAATCGTGAAAACGTAAGAACTCGACAGGTACTTCTGTTTGAAATACCAGCTGTCAGGTGTTAAGATTCTATTTCTACTTTTATTATACGTAATTGCATGCTATAAACGTTTTATGTGAACGAAACGAAAACATGCTCCCTTGAAAAATTTTTCGAAATGGCGCTTTCGTCCTAGTCTAGTCCGAAATACTGTCTATATAATATAATGAAGCAAACTAATTGTACTAAAAACTATTCCCGTTGAAACAGCTTCTTCTAATTAATGTATGAGTACGAACACAAGTTTCCTACAGAACTCTCATTATTCATATATTTTTTACGTTTCTTTTGTTCCAGAGCGGACGGAGGCACTGAGCGGGCGACTGTCCAAATCAGCTTCGGAGTTATCCTGTGCTCCACCGCAAAATGCGTCGCCTCCGCGCGCGCGATCCGCGCATCATCACACACCCCTTTCCGTGGTGCATAGAACTCAACACTTCTTTACCACCTTGAAGGTGAGTGCTGTGCTACAGAAACGTTCGTTCTATTACCGGACATGGCCTTTTTCTTAGACGAGGTAATAATGCAATTCCAAACGTGACATCTTCGTAGAATTAATTATATTAACTTGCCAGTATATTTTGATTTTAATATAATCCGTTCTTACAGCAAATGATAAATACAAAGATACATATGTGGCATAAGCCGAATGAAGTCCTTTTGCGCCACAACCACACAAATGACAGTACAATTTGCAATCGTAATATTTTGTTTTTTGCTTTTTGTCTATTTTGTCTTATTTTATGTTTTTTTTCGTATTTTTTCTTTTGTTTTGTTTGTCTAAGTGTATTCAATAATTTTTCTTGTATCTATGTGTTATGGCGTTGTGGCGTTGCAATAAATGTATTCTATTCATATTCGCATATTACCCAAAACACTTAAATGGATATTACTATTGGCTACAATAATATTGGATACGATAATAAATAAAAAACATATCATTATTTATCGGCCTAAGAATTTTCACTCTATTTGTTTGTTTTTATAGAGGATTTTCGAACATCAAGTCTTAATCGATATTGCCAGGTTTGCCTCTCTTTCTTTTCTTTTCAAGCAAGTGAGGTTTTTTAAAACTCGACTACTTACATATAACAAGTATACTCGTTGTTGTCCATTCTTAGCAGTTTACGAATGCACCCAAATTAGACTAAAGAAACACAGAGATGGCGAAAGGCAAAATGAAATCTATTAATCACTGGTTAAAGCTTTTTTTACAAACCTTTTTTTAGGATTTAGGCGTATGCATGTATCGTTAAAATGTGGATGAAAATGTTTTAATTTTTACAGCAAAATTGTACAACACTGGTTTTAATATAATTTTACACAATTTTATGTATCCATGATGTTATACCTATAGTACAGTTAAACTAAAACTTTACACTAAAGGGTTATTACATAACATCTGTATACTTGAATTACAAAAATCCATGGTAGGGACCCGTTTAGCTCTTGCAAGTTGTTAAATCTGTCGTATTTGAAATAAATATTGCAAATAGTATCGGGCTTCCGTAGAAAAATTAAGGAAATAACATTGATACAACAGATGAACGGCGACAGCTTCCATCTTATTTAAAATTAGGCGTATGTAATATGTATCGTTAAAATTTGGATGAAAATATAATTTTTACAGCAAAAATTTGCACGACTGGTCTTAATATAACATTACACAATTTTATGTCTCCATGATGTTATACCTATAGTATAGTGAAAGAAAAACTTTACACTAAAGTGCTATTGCATAGCATCTGTATACAGTAATCCCCGCTTTCCGCTGAGGGATGCGTTCCGGACAAAATCGCGTTAAGTGAAATTTACGTAAAACGGGTTTTTTTTTTTTTTTTGGCCGGCGGGCTATAGTTTTTTGGTCGCTCTGGGGTCTCTAATTTGACCTTACGACTGCTACCAGGGATAGAACGGGGTATGATCGAATAAAAAGCTTAATATTGTAACGAACGTGCTATTCGAACGAATCCATCTTTACTAAAACTTTTATCTTCGTCTCCAAACTCAAGCTCTTACGCTCTTCTTTCTTAGCCGGTGGCGTTTGTTTTTTCGTAAATTGTTCGTAAAAATTATCTTTTACAATTCACTGGATAACAGACAGTACCAATGTGATTATAAATTGAAGGACCTACCAAGAAAGAAGTGCCTGTGATACGCACTTTTAGCACCTAAGAAGCTACGAGTTCAAATTGGCTAAATCAATGCATCAGCGTAAAGCGGGGTAATTTAGCGCGAATTTTGAAAATCGCGTTATAATAAAAATCGCCCAAGGTGGGGGTCGCGCAAAGCGGGGTATTACTGTACTTGAATTACAAAAATTCATGGTAGGGAAACGTTTAGCTCTTGCAAGTTGTCTTAATCTGTCGTATTTGAAATAAATATTGCAAATAGTATCGAGTTTCCGTAGAAAAATTAAGGAAATTATATTTTTTTTTTTTTTTTATAACGTACACACTCAACATAGCCCCGCACTAGGGAAACCCTGTGTCGCGGGTGCCATGGACACACACATAGACAACCACAAATTACACCCAAACTCACGAGAGATATAATTGTAGGCCATACAACTATTTCTCTCGGCCCGGGAATCGAACCTGGGACCTCTGCGTGGCAGTCCGGCATGGTAACCGTTCGGCCACGGAGGCAGTTATAACATTATAACATTGATACAACAGATAAACGGCGACTGCTTCCATCTAATTTAAAATTATTCTATCATTTATATTACTTATTACAATTATTAATCAGTCATCGTTTATATTAATTATTACAATTATTTCTCAGACATTATTATTATAAACATTTTTTAATTTTATACATTGTAATATATAGCTTTATTAAGAGCGCAATGCGCATTTATTGAATCATTTTTAATTATAATTAGTTTTATCATCTTTTAAGCTGTGTTGTAATTTTATTTTACTCTTGGTTTCAAATACTTATTATTTGTATGAAAATATTTGAAACCATCTACCTCCTCTTAGGCTCCAGCGGAAAATCAGCGCTTAGGCTCTGCCCAGCATAAACTGAGCTGGCTAACCTTTTCGGCTAATATTGTGTACTTTAGTTTTTAATCTATTAGTTATCTTCTTTTTGTTTGTTAACAGGTCTTGAGTTAGTTATTATGTTCTAATATTATTTGTGAATAGCCGAATAAATGTTTCTTTCTATCTTTCTTTCAAATGATAAATGTATACAAATGTTTATATTTACAAAGCTACCCTTAGAGTTTCTTACTCATTCTTCTTCGGGGAATCTGCCTTACGAATAACTAGTAGATTAATCAATTTGACGTTTTGAAGTTTACTTTGCTTACCTATGAAATAAAGATTATCTATTTTTAAGTTTGATTTATGTTCCGATAATTCAGTTGTTAAATTTAGATTTGCTTTGTAGAGTCGATGGCAGCGCAGCAAGAGCCGGGAGCGATACCCGGCGGGCACAATGTTCTCGCTTGCCCCGGGGCATGACAGCAGCGGGACAGATTACCAGGAGAGCTCAGAGAGTACACCTGCTAACTCGCCCAGACATCGGGGAAGAAGAGGTAAGTGACACTATAAAACCAGGCGGCCAAAATAAAGCTATAACAAATGTCAAATTTGGTACAGCAAGGACTACCGACGTAACCGTACCGAGGTAACTGTACTAAGAGCGGCTAAGTGACATATGGTCAAATATCCGTTTTAAACCGCATAAGATAGCGCTCAAAATTTTCAATTTCGAAACAGTTAAAATTAGTTAACGTATCGGATATATCGGAACTTATCCTAATGATGCTTAGCTAAAATATCTTTAAACAATTTCAATATTCTAAAACTGGGTTGTGGTCTTTGTATGCTATCTCAAAAATTTTATCACATAGCCGCATTTTAGTTAACGCACGGCAGATTAAGAAATGGATCAAACGACGAAATAATTCGGTTGAAGTTAGAAGATAACGATGGAATAAATACTCGATTGGGTCTTGTACGATAATGGAGTAGGAGGTGACAAGAACAATATGCCATTAGCGGACTTTATACAGACATTAGATCGCGCGTGATACAACAATCGTGCGCGATTGATTGCGCGTGTAAAGACGTTGGAAGGAAACGAAAAGACCGCGCGTTTGCGCTCACCAGTCGTGCATTTCAGCACGTGCCAGTTTCACGCGATTATCCTGAGCTATTAGCGTTTACACATACGCTCTATCCGTTGTAACAAAAACGAACACGAGCAATAGCATGCTAGCTTAAAAAAATTCAAACATGTAATCGCGCACGATTGCGCGTGCAGGCTTTCCCGCGCGCAATTCTGTACGCAGAACTCAGCCACGCCTATCGCGTCACTAGTAGCCGCCTTTAAATCCTCAAATCCCTAACATGCAGGGCACGATTTGAAATGGACCATCGTTAGAATCGTATGGCATACACAATTCAAGAAAGAACCATCTGAAAATACCCACCTGAACAAATTGTCCTCACTCCAACCAATTTGAGTCCGAAGCCTATTTAAATACTTCTAGATCGACCAAAGCAGTTCGTGTCCTGGAGGAAGACTCATAAGGCGGGACAAAGACTTATTGATTGAGCTGGCTCAGTGCTCAGAGGATCTATGTGTGGGCTAGGTACTCTTACATATTTTACACAAACATGACACTAACTTAATATATAACGTCTAATAATATAACATCTCGATACCTCCAATGAACATAAGCCAACTTTATTTTTTGGTAATTTTCTGTTATTTTTGTAAATCGCCATATTTATTTACTAATACCATGCTCCCCGAATTTTATAAGAAAAGAAACAAAACATGAAATTCCAAAAAAACAACAAAGAAAAAAGAAACAAAAAACAAAATAAAAACAGAACAGGTCCAAAAATTAAGTTTGCGTAGTATTATTTGGAGGTATCGATCTTGCTGGGCATTAATATTTATACAATGTAATAAATAATACTTAAATACATACACCAGTTACTTACCTATGTAATATATTTAAGTATATAGGAATTAATTCAACATGCATAAAATTCATGTAAGTACCGTGTCCGTCCGGCACAAAATCGTAAATCGGCTGACCACCGTATCGTGTTCGTATGGAAAAACATTTATTTTAATAAGTATGTCATTGTTCTTACAATTTACAATTAGATTAAATTAATGACAACGCGCGAAAGCGAAAATTCTCGGCGGGTCGAGAATTAATTGAAATGGATTTTTCTAACAGAATGATGAATTCAAAAGTACGGCCAGAAATGCTTAGTCTCAAAATAATTATGAAATATAAAGAAGGAGGGTGATATTATTACATGATTAATATTATTACATGATTGTGATGCTTTTATTTTTTTTTTTACAAATGACAAATACAATTAAATTTAAGGGAGATAGAAAAACAAACTACGAAGTTATAATAAACACGTATGTTCAATGGGTATATGACTCAGCTACAGAGGACAATGAAGCACGTTGCCTTCGCCGATATTCTGAAATAGCTTTTAATGGATAACAACACACAAAAATATTTTTAAAATACTTTAAAATTAGTAGTATTTCAAATTGTGAAGAGTTGATACTACTTCAGCTCGAAATAAAATGTTTCTTTGGGTTTATTTCGGAATTTATGTTTTTCCAGTCATTTCAAAAATGTATATCGTATAGTATACAGGTTTTATTTAGTTCAGTTGATATTAAAAAAAATCATTGGTATATGTTAAGTACCTATTGAATACATCGGTTTTCTTGTAAAATTTCGACGTAAGTTTGCGTTTTGTAAAGTGAAATATTTTAAGAATTGTGTTTTTAAAGTGATAAATTCAGCGTATTTGAAGATGAAAAGGCGTAAAGGAATATAATAACATGGACGAAGATGGGAAAGTATATGAAGATTTCTACAGCGGTGGATGGGTAGCATTTTAAGGTATGCGCGCAATTGGGAGACGTGGTCAAATTTTTGAAGTTCGAAAACAAATTTTGTATTCTGCACAAAGAAATAATAGGGGTTAAAGTATGAAATTGCCGATTTGTACTGAAAATCT